GAAAGAAGCCGAAGCCGCGATAGCTCAGTTGGGAGAGCGTCAGACTGAAGATCTGAAGGTCCCTGGTTCGATCCCGGGTCGCGGCATAGTTTTTCCCAAAACTTTTTTAAATTTTTTCATGGACACGAGAATTGAAAAAAAAGGAAAAAACACAGACGAACGCCAACAGCACCGATCCTGGGCGATGTTGCCGTTGTTTTCCGCGTGGTTCTGCCACGGTGTCCTCTAGGAAAAGCGACAAAAGCAAAGAAAAAACCGCAAGCGCCAACAACACACACCGCAAGAAGCAACCAATTTTCGGTAACCTCGCGGATGCGGGGATCTATGCCCTGCAACGGGCCCTGGAAACAGCAATCTCTTGCGAAACCGCGGGGCGTTATTTGATCAAGGACTGCGAAAAAGCCCAGCAGCCACGCCGGCCGCGACCACGGAACAAGGCGTGCGGAGAAAAAAAAAAGGGCATTGGGCGGACGCTACTGCCACCCGTCGAGGCGCCGATTTCCGCACCGCAAAGGGCACCACGACGCGAATTTCCCGCAGAATAGTTGGATGGAATGCGGGCTTCTATGTAACGCTAGAGCGCACACGAAAAAAAAAGCATATTTGGAAGGCATCGACCACCGCAAAAGCGTTTACCACCAAAGAGCCTTTCGAAAGACATCGCCAGAAACGTGCACCGCCATTGGAAGCTGCGTCTCCGTGCCCTGATTATCTGATATTTAACCATCCCGTCGCGGTAAAAGAGCCACTTTTTCGAAAAACGCGGACACAATTCTATGGTAAGCCAAAATAAAACAGCGCCTTCCCCACAGAACGGTTGTTGGCACATGGCCGGACGCATCGACCACCGCCGGGAAAAAACACGTTCTGCTGCGGCGCAGCTGCCACACCATAAAGCCCGTAGGCGCGAGTTACCGCAACGCGCGCCATACAATCGATTCAAGAGAAATAAAAAAAATAAGTGACATAACAAAATAAAGAACTGCGCTCGTCACGGAAGGCGTGGTGCACAAACGGTGCGGAGGCAGCGTCCAGCTCCGTTGCCGAAAAGTCGAGCCACATGTCCACCTGGCTGCCCTCCAGCGGCGTGCGGCCGTACAGGAAGCCGCCGCTCCGGTCAAGGCGCGCGATGTGGCGCAGGATGGCGTTGGACTCGAACACGCAGCCCTCCTCCGTCTGCAGCACGGGGTAGCGGCCGCACGGGCTGCAGTTGCGGCAGTACTCCGCCGTCTCGTTCTCGCGGCCGTACTCGCACGCCTTCAGCGTCACCGCAACGTTGGCGAGGGCCGCAGCAGCCAGAAGCTTGTGCGTGCGTGCGTTCTCGGGGTTCACACCGCTCCACAGCGTGAGCGACATGGCGTATGTGTGCTTGTGTGTATTTTAATGTGCCGTGTGTTTTTCAGTGCTTAAAGTTGCAGAGCAGCTGCACGGCACAAGAGGGGCAAGAGAAGGCAACGGCAAAGAGATACAGATAGCACAAAAGGAGACTACTCATATCGTCACACACACACACAGCCCGCGAAGTGAGTAAACCCAACCACAAAACAAGTAAAACAATAAAAAACAAAACGAAGCGTGGGACGACCAGCACACACATTCTCATTGCTCCCGTAAAGCAAAACACACACACAGGGAGAGAGAGAGAGGTCGCCCACTCAATGCAATGAAAACAAAACAAAAACAGTTACGGTGCTCCGCCCATGCAGCCAGGCGGGACGGCGGTGGTGCGTGTGGTGCAAAAAATAACCAATGCCCCGGCATGGGTGTGCATGCATATATACAATGGGCACATTATTTGTGTGCCTCGTGGGGTGAGGTGACGGTGAGGCGTTAAGACACATTATTGAGGACAATCCCAAGTTTATCATTAATTGCGCTTAGGTGTCGTGTGCCGTTAGGACTGATTCTTCTATTCATAGTCGAATAAGTTTTCTGTTCCTTCAAATCCCTGTAACTATAATATTAATGGAAGCAAATGGAAGAGGAATCCCTTTTCTTATCATGCAGGCCGAGGCAATTTCTGTGCGCAGCTTGTTTTTGGTTGCTTTCCCATTTCTCGGTTCACTATGGACATTTTGGTGACAATACTTTGCTACAAGGAGCGGCGAATAAAGGCAGTTCAAAATTACATGCCTTACGCGGGAGCTGCAACTGAATCATGAGTTTTTGGAGTCTCGCGGGATACAGGCATCCTTTGCTTACGTGGTGTCAGCAGAAAACCCTGCCGACGGTATATCTCGTGGTCGCCTGTTTACACTTCAGGACTTGGCGAAGGGGAGCGGCGGGGTCTTGTGACAGGAGGAGTCCAAAGTTTGCCACTTCGTGAGTTATAATATTTCTATTACTAACAAAATACAACGTGTCATGAGAGTGGCAATCCGAATATATATTCTTGGAGCAGACAATGAGGAGGTGGCGAACCCATGGCTTCTCTATTTAACTTTTCCTTTCATCCATCATGTTTGACTTATTTAGATCATTTCAGGTTGCGGCCAGCAGCCCAGCCCAATATTGCTTTGTATAAGCGGTTGTGGGTTGCTAGTTCTTCCACTGGGACGTTTGGCTTGTAGCAAACTGCGGTAGGCGATTAATAGCTATTTGCTTCTATACGAGCACCTTTGAAGGGGTGTTTGTTCCCTGGTTGCCGGAGCTTTTATTGCGTGCGAGACGTCGGCGTTTGCTCGTTTATTTTCTGTTATTTATTTATTTATATTATCGTGAGGCGCTGTTTTGCTCGATGGGGCGCAGTGTTAGGAAGGAGAACTGTTTGCGCAAACTGGCGTCACGCCGTGCGGTGCGCTTATTGGGAGAACAGCGGTTCTGTTGAACAAATGTTAAACTTGACGGCAAAATACTTTTGTCGGGATGCCGGAGGTAGAAAAAGATATGCTTAGCCCAACACCTGAAAAAGAGTGGCACCATCGAGTAAAATCCGCTTTTGCTTCAGAATTTATGATCATGAGGGTGTAATTTTCTCTTCGACAAATATGGAAATGAAAAAGCGACATTGTCGAACTCAACAAGAGTCCTTTAATTGTGTAGCTCCTTATTGCATTGTTTCTCGGCAGCGGGGGATCATCGTTCCACCGTGCTAGCTCGGTGGCATGGCGTATCGTGTGCGTTTCACGCCCTCTCCGGGGCCAGGACCACCTTTTACGTTCCCACTCGGCAGGGCGGACGTGCTCGAAGACGGTGGCCGGCTTGTGGGTTATAAAATTTATTTGGAAAAAAAACACGATGAACAAGCAACAGAAATGCAATGGACCCCTATTTAGCACTGGATTCTGGAAATTTACATTGCGTTCCATTGATTTGGACGGTTGTTTTATGGAACTTGTCTTGGCGATATGAGCTTGGGATTCTTGCACGTGCCGCATGCTTGAGGAAGGGGCGTGTGGAAAATTATTCTTTCCCGATCTTATACATCGTTACCAGAAGCATGGCTTTTTCAAGGCGCGGATCCACGTTGTCTGCCGATGCAGCCGATGAAAGGCGACACACGCATGGAGCCCGCTGGAGAAACCACTTTTGAAGTGAGTTCAGGCCTTTTTTCACCCACCGAGTAAATTTCGATCTCTTTTCTCCTGCCCATAGATGCGGGTTTCTGCGAGAGACTTTTTTCTGTAATTGAATATCTATATGAGTGATGAAATCTCTTTTCCATCGCACCCCGCTATTTCCTTTGTACTGTATATATGGAGAAAGAGAGAGAGGGAGGCCTTGTATTTAGTTTACGAATGGGAATGCGAATTTGAAAAGAAGATACTGTGACTTTCTTTCTACGAAGTCCTCACAACCCTATTATTACTGCATGGTTTATTCTCCCTTTCCTGAGAAGCTTCCTTCTGCCCTTTAGGGGAAAGCATACAATCAAACATAACATGAACGAAATTATTACTCGCTTTTTTAGTTGTTCCCCACACTGTAAGCCTGAAGTTCTGGGCCGCATCCTTCATGACGTCGAGAATTTGTGTAACACCTTCCATTTCTACTGTCGTGACGCCACTTGGGAGTGACACAACAGGAAAAGCCTTGCATCTATGGTGGGCTTCCTATTACCATTAAGAAGAGCAACAGTGACCACACTTCTTTAACTCCAGACAGCCGTGAGCAAGCGCCACCACATCGTTATGTCTTGCCCTTGCAGATATGGCTGACGCACTTGTACCCCATTGAGCCTCCTCTGGCGTTTCTCCTCAGCGCGGAACAAGGCTGCAGGATAGCGAGCAACCACAAATACGTTGATGCTACCGGACGTTGTCACACGCCGGAGCTAGCAGCATGGCATCCAGTTTCATCCTCACTTTGTGATGTCGTCAAGAAGCTGGGCCAGTTGCTGTCAGCTGAAGGCTTAATTCCGCTTTGTTTTGGTGAAGAAGGCGTCAGCTCACCATCAAAAGGCCATGCGACAGCAGTCTCACAGCGATTGTGTCATGGATTAGAAAATGGTGACGATGATAAACGGACGGATGAGCATGAGAGGTGCGTGGTGTGCTTTTCTCCCAAGGAAACGGTGCTCGTTCCATGTGGACATTATTGCTTATGCGATGCATGCGCAACAAATGTGACTCATTGCCCTCTGTGTCGTGGGTCGGTCAAGTTCCGTCAGTGTGTGTTTTCATGACAATCAAGGGGTCGTATATTTGAAGAGAGAGACAAAAGCCGAGACGCCACAAAGTGTTATTGGAAGTTATTCACGCAGTGAAACGATCCCAAATGGCAATGGCACACCGGTAAAAAAAAGAGAAAACATGCGCAGTAATATGTTGTCTTTGTCCGTTGAAACCTTGACAATTGCAAAGGACTTCCCTGAATTTCTGTCAGGCTCCTTTGGTGCAACTTGGATTTTGTTTTTCCCGCATTCATTTGAGGAAAACAACAGTAGACTGCTAAAGCATCGTTTTCATTTTAGTTGATGCCAAGCATTTGGACCGCCCCAATCGCATTGCCACCCGCAACCAGCGTCTCTGGGAGGTGGTGGGCTGGTGACGAGACGTCCCCGCTGCCCAGGCACACACGCGCAGCACACGTCTCCTCCTATGAGAGGGCGGCGTTTGACACGGAGTGGGGCCGACATGATGGCACCGCGCCTCCCATGGGCAGAAGCGCCGCGGCGAAATGAAACAAGGAGGGGAGACGCAGAAAAGAGGGAAGCGCGGCGGCCAGGCAGAACGGAAGAAAAAGCCCTTACGACGAAGGAACGCCCCGCGAGCGGGAGGACAAAGGTCGTCGCGGGCCAAGTTCCCTCCTGCGGCGCGGCCATTTGTTCCACCCGGGCCACGAGGTGTCGCAAAACGCTTTTCGCTGGCGGATCTCACGAGCAGCTGGAGGTGTAAAGGTGTCCTCAAGCAGCGCCCACCGAAGTCTTTGCGGAGAAGTTATAGGAACCGCCCTGATGAGAGTGTCTTCACGAAGAACCTCCTTATTCACCGCCTAGTTTTTCCTCCCGGCTATGCCGATCCTGCGGACAACGATTCCGACGGTAGCCACAAGGGAAAAAAGCAGATTTACGTTCAATTTCGTTTGGCAAGGAAATGCCCGTCACCGCAACCTTCTCCACTGCAGCACCAAGCTACCCACAGCCGCCGATTTGGGTTTCCAGAACATCGTCTGTTCCGACGCCGTGGGAGTGCGTGTTTGCTATCCGCTTCTCTCTATGCCGTTGCTTTTTTTGGACGCTCTCTTGTGCCGCACAGCTGCTCTGCACTTATAGGCACTGACAAACACACAAGCACATTTAAACACGCACACACACACAGAGAAACACACGCCACATCGTACATGCTTTGGAGCGGCGTGAACACTGAAAACGCAGAGACACACACACAAGATTCTGGCTGCGGTGGCTTTTGCGAGGAGGGAAAAAGCCTGCAATTCATTTTTCTGCCATGTTGCGGGTGCAATGTTGGCGGCATGCAGCTGATTGGGTGGTATGTCATTGAGGGTGCCTGGGGTACGTGCGTATCGCCTCCCGCACAGCGCCTGCACGTGCTGCCGTTTCTCTTTTGCTGCTCATCGGCCGATGTGGGATTCTCCGACTGTGCGGGGTGATGTGCGCCAGTGGCGGAGCGGGTGCGATGGAGGGACAAGAATTAAAACGACTGGCGGCAGCGTGTGGTTGCTGCGAAGGGCGGTTGTGCTCTTTTGCATCCCGCTGGTTGTTTGTTGTGTTCGCGTTGCTCGGTGCGTGCTGACGCGTGAATAACGACACACCCAGCGTGGCTCCTGCTATTGGTGGTGGTGACCATCGCTGTGTGTTCCCGGTGCACTGTTCTTCCTTCTCGTTCCGTGTGTCTGTGTGCGTGAGTTGTTGTTGTGGGGAGTGACTGCGGCGGGGATGATGGTGCCACTTACGGTGGGTGGGTGGCGGTGCTTATTCTTTCACCCATATTTTGTTAGCCTGTTTTTCTTCATTTTTTTTCACTCTCTTACGAAGAAAGCAACCAAGCGCTAATCGCTACTGTGAAATTCGAAGGCTCTTAAAGGACCAACAGCACACACACCGCCCACACACACATATTTATATGCACTCACGTGTTGCTGCAGTGAAGGCACCCCGCACACACAACCGTCGCCGCGTGACCGGATCAAACGGGAGGAGGGAAGGAAGAGAGAGTGAGACGCAGAGATCCAACATGTCCCGTCGTGTGTTTACTTCCGCGGTGCTGCTCCTCTTTTTCGTGATGATTTGCTGCGGCAGTGGTGGAGCTACAGCCACTGATAATGGGGCTTCAGCTCCGGGAACTTCACCGAAAACCCATTTTGTTTGGAGAGACAAAAAAGGAGGAGAAACAGTGAGTTCTTTACGTGTTCCAGTTCTTGTTGAGATGGATGGTGATGTTTTTGCTGTTGCCGAGGCGCAGTGCACGGAAGCCAGTAACAGCGGTTTTACTGGGATTGCCTCGGAGCTCCTGGAGTGGACCGATCAAGAATCAAGAGAATTGGATACAACTAAACTGAAGACACAAGTACTGGAGGAATGTCAGTTTGAACAAGGGAAGTGTCCTTCCCCAACAGGAGCTCAGGATGCTGCTGCTTCCCAAAACCGGAAAAAAGTGGGTGTGAGCCGGCCAACAACAGTTGTGAATGGGAGTGATATTCACATGTTTGCTAGAACCTACAGTTTTGAAGTTACTGAAGGCGTTGGTAGCACAGCTGCAGCAGCTAAATGGCGACTTTTGGGGGCTGTGGGAAAAGTCAGTAATGATGGGAGCAGCGGTAAAAAATATATTTATTGGGAAGACGCTTCCGTTATCCCGTGGACTGAATTTGAAAAACAACAGGAATTTTTGACACGGCTGATTGGCGGCGGCGGATCGGGTATTAAGATGAAGGACGGTACGCTTGTGTTGCCCGTGGAAGGCACGAAGAAGGATGGAAAGGCCGTTTCGCTGATCATATACTCAGCCAATGAGAGTGGGAAGCTGTCGAAGGGGATGTCTGCCGATGGCTGCAGTGATCCCTCCGTCGTGGAGTGGAAGGACAAACTCATGATGATGACTGCTTGTGATGATGGCCGCCGCAGGGTGTACGAGTCCGGTGACAAGGGGGGTTCGTGGACGGAGGCCCTCGGGACACTCTCGCGCGTGTGGTTCAACAAACACGAGGGAAATGAGAAGGGCGTTGGGAGCGGTTTCAGCACAGCGACGATTGAGAACAGGGACGTGATGCTCGTTACTGTGCCGGTGTATTCAAACAGAAAGGGAAACGAAGGGGCTGAACTTCATCTTTGGCTGACGGACAATACGCACATTGCTGATATTGGGCCTGTGTCCGGCAACGACGACGCTGCCGCCAGCTCCCTGCTGTACAAAAGTGCTGGAAGTGGAAATAATAATAATGAGAGGCTGATTGCACTTTACGAGAAGGGCGGTGGGGAATCATCACTCGGCATGGTCTCTGTGCGTCTGACTGCGCAGCTGAAGCACGTGAGGGAGGTGCTGGCCACCTGGAAGAAGGTGGACGGTCGTGTCTCCAAGCTGTGCCCTTCAACTGCTGCGACGAATCCCTCAACTGGCAATGGCTGCAGCACCGTTAAGATCACGGCTGGGCTGGTTGGCTTTTTGTCCGGCAAATTCTCTGGTAACACATGGAGGGACGAGTACCTCGGGGTGGACGCCACAGTAAAGAAAGGAACGAATGGAGTGGCAACAGGGTATGCGGATGGAGTGACGTTCCAGGGAGTGTGGGCGGAGTGGCCTGTTGGCAAGCAGGGGGAGAATCAGCTGTACTACTTTGCGAACCACAACTTCACTCTTGTGGCGACGGTGTCCATCCACGGTGTGCCGAAGGGAGATACCCCCATTCCGTTGATGGGTGCGACGATGAATGACAATAAGAATCCTGTGCTCCTGGGACTGTCGTACGACAAAGAGGGGAAGTGGCAGGTGCTGTGCGGTGGCAAAACGACCAAGGAGCTCCGCAGTAATTGGGAGCCAGGGACAACACACCAAGTGGCCATTGTGCTACGGAACGGAAAACAGGGCTCCGCGTACGTCGATGGTCAGCGTGTGGGAGATGCGTCATGTGAATTGAAAAACACGGATTCGAAAGGAATCTCCCACTTCTACATTGGAGGGGATGGAGGCAGCGCAGGGAGCAAAGAAGACGTGCCTGTGACCGCGACGAATGTCCTGCTGTACAACCGCCCGTTGGATGACAATGAGATCCGCGTCCTCAACGCAAACAAAATTTCTATTCCAAAGCTGAAAGGTCTGAAAAAATTGGCGGCAGGAGCAACGGGTGAAGGTACCGCTCGTGACGGCGGGGCACATGGTGATGGGAGCACTGTTTGCGGAGGCGGACTGCTGCCGCTGCTCCTTCTGCTTGGATTGTGGGGGATTGCCGCTTCTTGAGGAGTGTGTGGCCTCTGCGTGGAGCATCTCAGCCCTTCCCCACCACCGACGCACACACCCCTGGTAGTGGATTACTCTCCGTAAGGGAAAATATTCATGTTTTTTTTTTACTTTTACTTTTTTGTGCGTGTTTTTTTTTCTAATCTCCCATCCCTCTTTTTTGCTTTTGGGGGCAATCAATATGGACGTTTTTTTTTTTCTACTCTTCCCTCTTTTAATTGTTTCTTCTGCACTCTTCCTGTGAGGGGTGCCGTGTGTTTCCCGCCCAACTGCTCCACTCGCACACCCACCGACACGCTCATGACGACGGCCCTGTGCGCCTCGCCTGCTGCACGCATGAGGAGGGGCCGCGACGAACGGCGCGCTGAGGGAGCCGTGACGTGTGGGCGTGCGACGAGGGCCGGTGGGGCGGAGCACACATTTCTTTCCCTCTTGTTTTGTTTTCTTTGCGGCCAGGGCTGGCAGACACCCGCAGCGCCACACACACACAGCCACACCCTGCCGCTCTTTAAAGTAAATTTTTTGTGCCTTGCGTGTGCATTTTACGCACCGGCAGTCCTTTCGGTGTCGGTCTTGTGAGCATTTCTTTTCCCCCGATGCTTTTTTTTTTTTGCTGCGCTCACTCTCCCGATGGAGTGACGCGACCGCCGTCATTTCTGCGTGCTTCTCTCAGTCCCCCACACACGAGTGACTGTGCTCTGCGGGCCGCACTCACACGCCGATGGGAGGGCTGAGGGGAGCAGCAACACGCAGATGACCCCATGAAATATAAACGACGTGCGGACACACAGAGGGTCAGACGGTTGAAAGACATTTAAATATGTTTTTAAAATTTTTTTGGGCAAAATATATGCAGACAGTTTGGTGTGGCCACAAGGCAGCCGGCAGCTTTTTAAATTTGTGTGGAACAGTAATGGATGATTTCTTTTTCATGTATAATTATTTTGTGTGATGGGGTTTGTATAAGATAAAGGGGAAGGTTGTTTTTTTTTGTTTTTTGTTTTAAACAAATCTTGTGTGAATTGCCACTGCCTGGACTGCAGTGCAGTCGTGAGTTTGAGCGGTCTTCTTCTTGTTGCTTCCGCCATGCACCTCCGCTGTACATTTTTTTGCGTCTCTCCACATACTCTGCTCTCTTTTTTCCTACTTCTTTGCTTTGTGTTTCTGCAGACACACACACACAAGATGCACATTGCAGTGGATTTGAATGCTTCTTTTGCAGTGCATGCTGGCAGTTGCGTGTGGCGGCTGTTGTCTTCCTCCGTGGCCATGAGGAGAAGGGAGGAGGGAGAGGGAGTGCGCAGTCCGAGTCTCCTTTCCTGCGGGTGTGGAGCACCGCGTGTGACTGCGTTGAGTTTGGCTCCGTGTCCCATTGAAGGCGGGATGGCTGGAAGTTTTGTTGCCGCGTCATGGATGGATGAGAGTCCACTGGCGCGTGTGGCTGGTGTGGTGGGTGCTTGCTCCGTGTGCGTTGTGTGGTGGCCGTGGGTTTTTGCCATTTCCCGTTGGCTGTGGGAATGAGCTGGGAGGAGATGGTGGTGGATATCTTCTCCTCCTGCATGGTGGGTGGCTGCTGGCGTTGTGTGCCTTTCTTGCGTGGATGCCGTCTCGTGGTGTGTGAACTGTGCTGCTGGGCCTGCTGCCCTTTCCGCATGTTGTCTGCTCTCTCTCGCTGTATCCGCTGCACTTCGTCCCTCTCCCTCTTGTTGCATTCTTTTTCATCTGCCTCACCGATAAGCTGACTGGCTCCAGCGACTCCACTACGGGTGATGATGACGGTGCGGCGCCGTGTTGGTCCTTGCGCTCTCGTGCTGCTGCTGCTGCTGCTGCTTGTCCGTGTGCGTGACGGCTGCTGGGAGTCCTGGACATGTATCTGGTGATGCGGATGCGGTGGTTGTGCCTGCGGATGTGTCGTGTGCTCCGAGTGACGGCAGCCTGAGCTGTCGCGTGCGTATGTGTGTGGGCGTGGAGGAATTGTTCTCCTGCCAGTGCTGAGGCTCAGCATGAGAATTATACCTTCAGAGGCTTTGATGTGCGCATCCGTTGCAGGAATGGTGAGCTGGGTGCTGTGTGCCATGAGGCCAATGCGATGCACACATGTAGCAACTGTGCTGCCAGCTGTGCAACGAAAGAGGAAGAGGCCACCGTTGCTTCCACGATGAACGTGACGTCACATAAATACGCCGGCCCTTATGA